CCAGCAGTTCGTTAACTGATGCTTTATAGAACTGACATTACCTCTGGCCTCATTCTCTTGCTGGATTTTACCCTGTGCGGTTGTGCCAGCTGTGTGTCTATTGTGCAGTGGCCAGGTGTTCAAAGTAGTAGTCAGGCTGCATGCGTTTAGGGCACCCACCTTCCCTGGGTGCCCAGTAGGTACTGCCCTTGCGTGTTCAGGGTTTTCTTCTCTTCGTCGTTTGGGGTTGCACTCCCATTGAGGATAATGTCACTTGTCATTATCCTCGCCCTTGGGGTTCAGCAGGGGTTGTGGGGCTCTCTGTCTGGCCCTGGGTAGGGAGTTTTGTTGGTGCTGGCTGTGGCACACAGTGTTTTGTGCAGCTTGCATAATCATGGTGATTGTCTCTCTCTCTCTCTCTCTCTGGCCTCTGGTTGTTTGTGTTGTATTTTCAAGAGTTTCAGGTTTTCCTTTTCTTTTTCCAAGAGGAGATCTGCCTAGCTTCTGACTAGGTTCTCCTAGGTTGAGTTGGGTGGTCCTCCTCTGGGCCCCCTCCAGGTTGCACGCACAGCTTCCTGGGTTCAGTTTGCCCAGTATTAGACGGAGTTCAACTGGCTTTAGCTACACCTGTGCTTGGACTTCCTGTCAGGATTTCCCCTCCTGCTGCCTAGTAAACCCCCTTGTGCTCAATGCTGATGCATATGTTTTCCGAGTCCCTACTCGCTTTGTGCGAGTTTGAAGGTTGTTCGTGGCCCTAGTCTCAGGGTGACGATCATCTGTTCTGCCGCCGTCATGCTGCTTATCGGGTCGGTGACACCTACGACCCAGAGTCGTGCGGGTCTTGTTCCCCGCTCGTCATCCACCTTACCCATTCTTCTTTGAAAGACCTTAGGGGTCAGGCAGCGGCTGTGTTACTTGGTAGGTTTTTGTTGCTGCAACACGCCTTGTTTGTTGTCCATTCGGATGCCCCAGAGCTGCCTCGTTTTGGTTTTAGGGACCCGGAATTGGGGGTGTTTGTCGCTTCAACTTTGGTTTTGACTGCTCCTTTGATTCCTTCCCTCGTGGGTGGGGTTTGCCCCGTTCTTTCCCCACTTTTCCTAGCTCCCAAACGTCTGAGGGTTTCGAAGTCGGGGTAGGGTTTAGCTCAGGACAAGACTTGGGCGGCTTCAGGGGCTGCCTTGTTCAATGCGGGATACGAAGGCTGTTGGGCCTAATCGTCCCACTGAGGCTTCTGGGTTCTCCCAGCAGACCCCCTTCTTTGAGGCTTTTCCCTTGGACTCTGCCTTGCCTTCCGGGGTCGGTGGGCGTGAATGTGGGTTCTGCCCCCGGAGCCTGTGTTGGGGGTTCCCGGGGCATGGGGGGAGTTAGCTTGGGGCTCTAGTGCACTGTTTGACCCTGCCTGGGCTTTGGTGCCTTCGGGGCGTGGGTTGTTGTTGCAGGGTTCAAGGTTTTCGTATCCCCCTTCCATATATGAATTTGATTTGGGGGCGACTATTTCCCCCCTTTCTTCCCCGGGTATGTTACCGGGTTCCATTGGATTCATTTCCTCTGCAGATGCTCAGGAGGCTCTTGGTGCCTACCTCCTGTGTGACCCGGTATTTGCCTCTATTATGGACTCCGGTCTCTTTTGAGTTTGGTTCCTCTTCTCCATACTGGGTGATTTATGAAGTTCCTGGGTCTTCCCGGCTTGCAGAGTACCTTCCCTTTGCTCTGGGGGCTTAGCACAGGTTTTGTCATACCCACACACTTGAGTGGCGTGAGGTTTCCTCGGTGTTACAGATTTTCTTATAGCTCTCTTGAGATCCTTCGTGAGTGCTTTTATGCCATTGCACTTTCTCTTGATGTTGGGTTGCAGTAGTTACACGCTCTGGTCCCTCTTCTCGGCTGCCTTGGTTGCTGATGATCACCGTACTCACGGTCATTTGGCTTCAGTCTTGCACTTCTTTAGCCTCCTGGAGCTGTCTTTGGACTGGCTTGCGGAGGCTGTGGAGGCCTTGAGTGCCCGGCCTTCGACTGGGAAGCTGATCTTGGTGACATTGCTGAAGCTGTTTGTGTCTTCTCCGGGAGACAGTTTCTCTGCTTTTTGCCTCTCACCTCATGTGTCACCAAGGTTTCCTTGCCCTCTCTTTTGACTCTGCATGGGTCCAGGCTCTTCAGTTTTCATCTCCTTTTTGTCCGTTGTTGTTTTCTGTGGACATTGTGACTAAATTTTCGGTGGCGCCATCCTGCAGTTGCTGTCCTATTTCTGATATGTTAGTGCTTCTGGGGAATTGTTTTTGCTCTTCCCAGGGTGGTCGTGCCGGGGCTTTGGCATTGGTAGCTCAAGGTGGCCCCATTGGTGCCAGTTTCTCCGCCGGCGTCTTCTCTGGGTCCTTCTTCGTCTGGCCGGTGCCGTGGTCACTCTGCTCGAAGGTTGGTTTCTCGGGGGTCACGTCGGCCCTTTCAGTGGCCCTGTTTGCCTATGCTTGGTCCCACGATTTGTGGGCGTTTCGGTTCGCATCCTCCAGCCTTTGGTGACGTTGGGCTGCTCCTCATCCTCCTCCTCCTCCTCTAGGAAGTTTGGGCCTGGTGGGGCAGTCTTCCTCCACGTCGCTTTGCCGGGTCATCCTGAAGTGGGTACGCTTGGGTGTGGTCGAAACGACCTCATCCCTCAAGTTGGTTTCTCGCTTGTTCCCAGTTTTGAAATGGGACTGCGTGGATCTTTGGTTCATTCTGTACTTGTCCCGTCTGAACCATTGGATCCCTTGCCCCTCTTTTCGGATGACCACTCTGTCTTAGGTCCGGCTTCTTCTCGATCCGAATGCCTGGATGGTGTCCCTGGACCACAAGGTGCGGGGACCTTGAGGTCCCTGGCCAATACAGTCCATCCACTACAGATGAATAGGAACGTGCCAATACAAGGTATTCATCTGGGGTTCAGGGACTGGTTAGGTTTTGTGGTGGGGCATCAGGTGTACTGCTTTTGCTGCCTTCCATTTGGGCTAAATCTGGCACCTCACATTTTTATGCATCTTACCCATGTTGTGATGGTCTGTCTGCATCTGCTAGAAGCTCAAGTGTTGGCTTACGTCGATGACTGGTTGGTCTGGGCTCCCAGCCAGTCTGCTGGGATTTGGTTCTTTCCCAGCTTACCGGGTTCGGGTTCCTGGTGAACTGGAGGAAGTCCCATTTGGTTCTGTCCCAGGTTTGGACTTGGCTGGGCCTGGTCTGGGATTCACGGATGGTGACGGTGTCCTGCCCTTCTGCGGCGTTGCTCCGGCTGCGGTCCCATCTTTGGCTGTTCTTGGGGGGGGGGGTTCTGGGGCACTCGTCGGTTGCTCGAGCATCTGTGCAGGAGTCTTAACTTCACCTTCTGGTTTTCCCGCTGATCGGGTTTGGCTTCAGAGGCTGTTTTGGTTCCTTCGAAGCAGTCCCTTCCATCGCTCTCATGATTGCTGGGTTCATTCCCCGGGGGCCTTGCATTGGCTGCTGCGTCTCCCCCCCTTCCTCTTCGGGTTTTTCAAGGTTAAGTACCTACTCGTTTCCTCGCTCGATGTGTTCACAGACACCTTGTCCCTCGGCTGGGGTTTTGTGATCATTGCTCACCAGGCCGGTCAGGTTATTGGGGGCTGTCATTCCATCAAACTCACAGCACAGTGCGGGAGTTCATGGCGGTGTGGCTCTCGCTGCGGCAGATTCAGCTCGCTTGGGGCTATATGATCCGGCTCCATTCATACTGTGCCCCAGTGGCTCATTGTCTGAAACGAGGGATTGAGGGGGGACATCGGTCCACAACTCTTTGCAGATGAGTGGATCTTCTGCTGAGTTTTTGGGGTTTAGCTCTCAGTGCTGTTAACATGGACAGCCCAGTGTGGGGGTGCCCAGTGTCCTGGCAGACAGCCTGTCCCGGTTCATTCCTCTGTCAAAGCATTATATGCCCGTAGCCAAATGATCGTGAGTGCGATGATCCTCACCAACCAAAGCAGGTGAAAACTTGGGGACCTGAGCGTGCAACAATCCAATCTCATGAAAAAGCGCAGGGGCGTAAATGCACTCACTGAGGAATTCGAGAGAGCCCTCCAAGAAAACCTGTAAGCCAAGGAAACCTCACACCACTCAAGCGTACGGGTATCACAAAAACCATGCCAAGCTCCAAGAGCAGAGAAAGGGAATCTGGAAGCCAGGAAGACCCAGGAACATATCGAGGCAAATACCAAGCAGCAAGAACCTCTACGGGAATGGTTCTCGAACGCCCCAGGGAAGATAACTCTGACACGCAGAGGCAGTACTCACAGGGCGCTTAAGGAAGGAAGCCTCTAAGCACATACAGCCCCTGTACTGACGAGGAACACCTGGCCACCGCACAACACACAACACGGCAGTGAGCGATACAAAGGCAAACACCACCTAGGAAACTGAGGCCAGTGAAGAGTCTGTCCAAGTTGACATTAGCTTACGAATTGGAGTGCTATTCAGCCGGCGCAGTGAGGTCCGGGGCCCCCTCTCCCCCTATCCCCCTTTCGGGGAGGGGAGGGCTGCGCGGGTGAGCGGCGCAGTGGTGGTGTGTTGTGTTTGCTTGTTTCCTTGGGATTGTAGGGAGTTCTACCTCTGTTCAGTTTTTGTTGTTAGTTTCTTACCATGTGGGGTTTGTTTTGTTATTCCTACCTTTCTGGGTTTCTAACCCCGGTCGATGGCAAATAGGGGAAAACCCCAACCACAGGGGGTTTTCCAGGGCCATTGCTCCCTGAAATTTCTCTGAAGGGGCCAGGTTCTGGCACTGGTCCCTGGTAGGTCTGAACTCCATAGCTAATGTCCCGGTCTAATATAACATACATTAGCCCGATAAGCTCCAGGGAACCTCCAGGGCTCACCTAGAAAATGGTGTTTCATTACATTCAATGCTGGTTTCTTAATGCAAACTAGGATGTAGTCCTTAAATGACTTAGAAGTTTAATAGTTAATTTGATGTTTTACTAATATTAATTCTTATTATATACTGTACTCAAATTTAAGTATAAATGTGAAATATTTTTCACTTACAGAATCTATTGAGTGCTCACACAATGAATGGAAATGTACTTCAGAAGAGCATTGTATCCCTGATATATGGAAATGTGATGGTGTGGAAGACTGCAGTGACAGCTCCGACGAGAAGATGTGTCCCAGCATCCCTGTAAAGTGTACGCCACCAAGTCATCTTTGTGATAACAGCACTGTCTGTGTCCCACCAGCAAGCCTCTGTGATGGACATAGCAACTGCAAGGATGGGTCTGATGAAGGTGGTCGCTGCGGTTAGTATCCATATCTTACGCCTGTAATGTATTGATGAAATACTTGTGCTGATGTGTTAAATGTTGAGGATGGGTCTGATGTGGTTGCTAATGGTTAGCACTCTTATTGTATATCTTTCTTTGTCAATTAAATATTTGTGTTGATATACGTATTATCTTAAAATGATAATAATTTCAATGTTTAAATTAAATTTCTTTCAGGATCCTTTGATTGTGAGCTGATGGACTGTCACAAGAACTGCACCCAAGGTCCTGGCGGGCCAGTGTGCACATGCCCAAAAGGACAAACTCTACTGTCAGATGGTCGCATGTGCACTCATCTCCATCCTTGCCAACAGTGGGGAACATGTTCTCAAGAATGTGTCCCGACCAAACATTCACATAAATGTGTGTGTATTGAAGGATACCAAATAGAACCAGATCATTTTACCTGTAAAAGTACTGGTTAGTATTGCATGTTGTCTAGTAAATTTTAGAATAGTAAGCCCTCAAATGTAGAATTGAATTATAACTGCTTTGAAATATACAGTACATGCATATACTGTTTGTATTTAACTGAAAAAAGTACCATTGATGATTCATTGTGAGGTGATTGTATGCTGGATATTAGTACTGAGTCAACTGATCATTACAGACCCAGCTGTTCCATACCTCATCTTCAGCAACCGGCATGAACTACGCAGTATAACCCTCAAGGATAACAGTATGGGGGTAAAGGCTCTGATCTCGTCGCTTAAGAATACAATTGCCTTAGACTTCTATCATTCAGATGAAGGCGATGTTATATTCTGGACAGATGTAGTGGATGACAAGATTTATCGAGGGACTCTCTTGGCTGGAGGTAAAATATTCTGGTATATACACGATGATATCTCAAGAACATGATGTATCTATGAAAAGTATTGATGTTATACAATGGAATCAAACCCTTCTCCCTTGACTCCCCTGAAACGTGCTTTAGTCAGAAATGCGTGCCTGGGGATCCAGTGATGTCAGTTCAGTCCCATCATCTAGGTTATTATTTTTCATTCTAGTATACTTTCTTCTATTTTATTTATTTGTTGCTATGAAAGTCATGTTTCTAAAAGGTATCTTATTTTTCTCAAAGGATCTTAACACTTTGGGGTTATGATGACGTTCATGCAGTCAATAAAACAATACACGTAGTTTGGGACATGACATTAATGCCGTCATCAAATAGTTTTTGCATATTCCTATTAGTAAGTATAAGCATTGCGAGTGAAAGAGTTTAACATTGGATTGTGCGCTCACGGGCATCGTCCGGCCTACCTTGCGGTGCGCTGCAGGGGACCTGCCGGGCCAGGCAAAATTGAATCAAATATTGTGTCTGGGAACACCTCTGTTCATAAATCCAGCACTGAATGTAATGAAACACTTCTTTTTGGTGGGTCGTTGGTGGCTCCCTATTCAGGAGAATACTTAGGGAAGACCTCCCAGAAAATGATTGCTGTCCTTTGGTAATTGAGAATCAACCATGACCACCATGCTCAAATTTATTTACCATCAAGCTATTAGTATCATTATTATTTTCATTACAATTGCAGAGCATAAGGCACAATAACGTGGCTGAAACAAAACCCCGACTCGCACACACATGTGAACATATGAAAAATATGAAAGTGATAGATGTTTCCACTTCCTCCTGGACCCTTCTAATTACCTAAATGTAATTACATAATTGTTGTTACAAGATGAGAGGAACACTTCTGGTGTTATGTCTTCCCAGTATGTTTGCTGACATGTCATGGATTGTTTCTGCACTTACCCCTCACGTCCTTGCACCTCACCTCTCGTGTTATATTCTCCTACTATGGCATGACTTGATTTATGGGCTACTCATGCCTGTGACACCTTTTGGGTGGCTTAATCTTCATCAGTCAATCATGGCTTGATAAGGCTTCATGGCAGATTGTAATGCCGCCACTTTAATTTCTTTTCATGTGTGTCGGTTGGGCTATTAGTGTTATAATTATTTGTATTACTATTATTTTGATCAGTGTTCATATTTCACTCTTATGTTTTAGCGTTGTCGAACATAGAGGTGGTGGTGCAGACAGGTCTAGCCACAGCTGAAGGACTTGCTGTTGACTGGCTGGCAGAAAATTTGTATTGGGTGGAGAGTAATTTGGACCAAATAGAAGTGGCTAAACTCAATGGATCGTACCGACGGACCCTCATCGCCTCGCGTATGGAAAGCCCACGAGCTATATCTCTTGACCCGAGAGTTGGCATGGTGTTTTGGTCAGATTGGGAGGTATGTCAATTAACCATATGTAATAAGAACATATGAAAAACATATGAATACAGGAAACTGCAGAAGGCCTATTGACCCATGTGAGGCAGCGCCTATTTATTTCCCCATCCCCATCCCAAATCCTTACCCTAATCCCTTCCAAGTGCTATATAGTCATAATGGTTTGGCACTATCTCCTGATAATTCCTTCCCTCCTATTTATATACACCCAGACTCATAAATACATATATACAGTATGTCTAAATTACACTTGATACAATCTAACTCTCTCATATCTATTATAAAGTTTGCTATATTCTTTAAAATAGGAAGGAATTACATGTCCATGCTGACTAATTGCTTTTACTGTGTTTCTGCTCAATTTATTATCAGTCTTCGGTGATAATCTAAATAATTAGCATCGTATTTTTTAGAAATTCAGTAAAACTAAGGAAAATATAGGCCTAAAGCATTTACCAATACAGTATATTAATTTAAACTCATTTTGTTACTTAAAGTTCATATGCATTAACAAATTAAATAAATTACAAATTGCAATAAAGTATTTAATAGGTTTATCTTTTCTAGCTACTGTACTTGTTGCATGTTTAGTGTTGAACAAGTTATTTTCTGAGTAGTGATACGTACATTTTTAAGCAGCCATGCATTTTTGATTATTGATACATTTTTGCCATCATTCTTATGAGATACAGTATGATGCATTATTATGCTTTACATACCCCTGTCTTGCTTAGCAGGGTTTAATTACACCTTGGGTTACTTTGTATCTCTGCTGATGCTCTGATGAATTGGGATGAATATTTGGAACATGCATTAATAATATATGGAACATGTAATTACCTAAGTGTAATTACCTAAGTGTAGTTACAGGATGAGAGCTACGCTCGTGGTGTCCCGTCTTCCCAGCACTCTTTGTCATATAACGCTTTGAAACTACTGACGGTCTTGGCCTAATGTGATGCACATTACGTGTTACAGTTATAATGAAGCCTTACCTGACGTAGCACACGTTATTCAAAAAAGAGTACAGTGGCATCTCGACTTACGATTGCCCCGACTTACAATAATTTTGAGTTACAATGTAAATTTGATAGAAAAATGTGACTCGACTTACGATAGTGTGGTCAACTAACGATATTTGTTGGTACACATTTGGGTCGACCAAGCGCGTGGTTCCCGGTCACGCAGGCCGACCTTGCCTCAGTTTACTAGAGCTGCCCGCTTAATGACAATCATGCCTATAAGAAATTCTGTTTTTCTTGTCATTTTTTGCTCTTTGAACATAAAACTGATTATTATATATCTCGCCATGGGTCCCAAGAAAGTCAGTGGTAAGGTTCAACCTAAGAAAATAGTTTTGAGTAGAGGCAGTAGAGGATGTCCCTTCCTCATTAAGAAAATGTGTGAAGTATGGGAAGAACTGCAAAGTTTTGTTGAAAAAACTCACTCAGATAAAGCTGTAGCAGGCCGTTGCATTGACCTTTAAATGACAATGTGATGTCTTACTACAGACAAGTGTTAAAATGTAGGGAAAAACAAATGTCTTTAGACAGATTCTTAGTAAGACAAGCAAGTGGTGAGCCACAAGCAGGTCCTAGTGGTATGGAGGCAAACATGCCAGAGAGTGTATCCCAGAAAAGTCCTCACTGCCTGATGTTATAATGGAAGGGGACTCCCCTTCCAAACAGTAACACCTCTCCTTCTCCACCCTCCTCACCATCTTCCATACGCCATCAAGAGTCCTCAATAAAGCTAAGATAAACATATGTACTGTATTGTAGTGAGAGGAAAAAATTGTATTCAGAATAAAATGTATTTGTAAGTTAATATTTTGGAGGGTGGGGAACGGATTAATTCATTCCCCTTTATTTCTTATGGGAAAAATCGCTTCGACTTACGATATGTCTCTGGGAATGGATTACCATCCGTTCATCGAGGCCCCACTGTACTGGGAAGATGGGACACCACGAGAGTAGCTCTCATCCTGTAACTACACTTGGGTAATTACATGACTCAACTGTATTTGACATACTGTATCTACCTGACACAACATGCACCCACGCAAGACAAACTTTAACATAACTACATGTGATGTGCGTAAATTGTGATGTGCATCCACACACAACATACAATACATATTTAGTAATTTGTCACTATTGTGATTTCTAAGATATTTGTACTTTTTCAGGAAGGAAATGCACGGATAGAGTCATGCAGTATGTCTGGAGAAGGTCGGCGTGTTGTATTTGTTGTGAGTGAGATTGTTGGTGGAGGTTGGCCGAATGGATTAACACTGGATTATGCTTTACGTCGAATCTACTGGATAGATGCCAAGTCTGATTCCATTCACACTTCTCTCTATGATGGCACAGACCACATGGAGGTAATGTTATATATTTATGTATGTTAATATGTGCTGAATGTAGATGGATACTAATTTCTCTGTGGGAAATAGGCACAGTGGATGATAAACTAGAGTTGTTGTTCATCTCTGGTAGAATATTGTTTGCCATATTTTCACCTTTTTAATTTCTTTCTAGCATATCTCTGATGTGCAGGTTCTCCAAAAATCGAAGATAGAGCCATATACTGGTGCTGGTTCCTCAGTAGGATAATGTGGGTCTTGGAGGCCAGGTATACTGGTGCTAGTTCCTCAGTAGGATAATGTGGGTCTTGGAGGCCAGGTATACTGGTGCTGGTTCCTCAGTAGGATAATGTGGGTCTTGGAGGCCAGGTATACTGGTGCTGGTTCCTCAGTAGGATAATGTGGGTCTTGGAGGCCAGGTATACTGGTGCTGGTTCCTCAGTAGGATAATGTGGGTCTTGGAGGCCAGGTATACTGGTGCTGGTTCCTCAGTAGGATAATGTGGGTCTTGGAGGCCAGGTATACTGGTGCTGGTTCCTCAGTAGGATAATGTGGGTCTTGGAGGCCAGGTATACTGGTGCTGGTTCCTCAGTAGGATAATGTGGGTCTTGGAGGCCAGGTATACTGGAGCTAGTTCCTTGGTAGGATAATGTGGATCTTGGAGGCCAGGCATGAACATTTCAGATATACTGATAGTGTTCCTCGGTAAGTTAATGTGGATCTTAGAGGCCAGGCATGAATGTTTCAGGTATACTGATAGTGGTTCCTCGGTAAGTTAATGTAGGTCTTGGAGGCCAGGCTTGAACATTCCAGGTATACTGATGATGGTTCCTTGGTAGATTAATGTGGGTCTTGGAGGCCAGACATGAACGTTCCAGGAAGTATGCAACAAGAAGCTACTGCCAGCCTACCAGAAAAAGGTATTTCATTATATTCAACACTTGATTTTTCATCCTGGATTTTAATATTCAAAGTTTTGTTTTACCCTGGTTGCTGAATGGCTTAAAGTTATTAATCCCAAAAGTGATCAGCTATTTAAAAGTACTCCATCAAGATGTACATAACTAAAAGTAGTTAATCAGTCTAACTGGAAACAATCACAAATGGCATTTGGAGCACAGGAGGTAATTACAGATAATTGGTGCAGCATAAGGGTTAAAGATTATTATTCAATGGAGCAGTGGTACTTTGTTTATTCTTTTGGGCTTATCTTGAGGTCATCTGGGAGCTACATGCTGAGGGTGAACCTCAAACACACATGAGAGTCAAGAGCTCAGTCATAGTCATGCTGAGGGGGAACCTCAAACACACATGAGAGTCAAGAGCTCAGTCATAGTCATGCTGAGGGGGAACCTCAAACACACATGGGAGTCAAGACAAGAGCTTCCACATAATAGTGGAGTAGCAAAGGAAGAAAATAACAAAAAATACGGAAGAAGATATTTAAGTTTGTTGTAGTTGAAAACATGAGAATATTGAAGCTGCAGTATGAACATAATAAATATCTTTTATTTTATTTTATATTAGTACGGGAAAGATATTATATAGTGAAAAGACGCATCTTTTCTGGGGGGAGCACCGTTGGTTCCGAGGCTGATATGAATACATTAGCTTTCTGGCATCAGTCAAAGTGTATGGAGTTCTTGCCTACCGGGAACCAAGAGCCATAACCTGGCCCGCTCAGAGAGTTACGAGGAGCCATGGCCTATAGAAACCCCCGTGTGGTTGGGAGCATTCTGTGTTTGCCATCGACCAGGTCTGGAACCCAGAAAGATAGGCGCCCCAAAAGAAACCCCTATTTTGGTGAAAATATTGCTACCGAAAGCCGGACAAGCAGACAGAACTCTCCAAACGAAAATTAGCAACGAGTATGACATCATCACGTCGCCACGCCGCTGTCTGCAACCCCCCTCCCTCCCTGGGAGGAGAGAAGGGGAGCCCCAGACTCTTGGGCTGGCAATCCAACCATCAGTTCTTGGCTGATGTGCTACTGGCATGGTCTGGTGCCTCTGACTCCTGCTTTGGTCCCAGTTTCTGTGCCTTGTGGCATGGTCTGTCTACAGGTGGTGTGTGAACCAGGAGTAACATTCTACGGTACTCAGACTGCATGCGCCTAGGGTTTCCTTCCCTAGGTGCTCAGTAAGTACTGTCCTTGGGACTTGGGGCCACCTTCTACAAGTCACCTTGGGATCTACCTCTGCTATGTCTTTCACTGCTCGGTACTTGGCTGCCCTTGGAGTCAGCTGGGGATTTTGTTGCCCTTGTTTGCCTCTGGGTAGGAGGTAGTTTTCGTCACTGGTAGGAGTGCAGGATCCTGCACAGCTAGTTATCACCTCTCATAGCGGCCGGTTCTGTTCCGCCTAAGTGTGTTGTCCTCTTGTGGAGTTTTTCTTTTGTTTTCCTTTTCCTGCCTGGTGGAAACCTAGGTGGGGGGTTTATGTTTGGTTGGTTGCCCCCTATCTATAATTGGGGGACTTTATATATACATATCTGTGCTCTTGGTGGTACCTCTTGCTAGGCCCCCATGAGTGGACATGTCCCGGGGTTCAGCTTTTAGAAGTTTCCTTGGTAATCTTGGACGCCAGTTTGCAGTACCCTGCCTGGGCTTCCCTTAGCATGTTATCAAGGCTAAGGGGCCCCTGGGAAACCCCACGGGGGTTCTGTGGTCTGATGTATGTGACCCTTGGAGTCCCCTCTTGCTTTGTGCGAGGTTGATGGTTGCTTTTTCCCTTTTTCTCAGGTTGACAATCACCAGTTGTGCCTCAGCCATGCTGCGTATTGGGTCAGTGATTCTTTTGACCCGGTGTCATGCGATGTTTGTTGTTTGTACGAGCTCCAGTTCACCCAAGCTACTGATCGTGATATGAGGGTGCAGGCAACAACTGTGTTGCATGCTAGGTTCAGGTTGCTGCAATGCTAAAGGTTGGTTGCTTCCTCGGATGCCCCGAGACTGTCCCGTTTTGGTTTTAGGGACCCAGACATGGGGGTGTTGCTTCGACTGTTGGTTCTGTCCACCCCCCCACCCCCCCTCGAACCTCCGCGTTTCTTGAACATCCGGTTCCTTCCCCGCTTGCTTCCGGCTCCGAAACATCTGAGGGCTTCCGAGTCAGGACAGGATTTAGTTGGTGTTGAGACTCTGGCGGTCTCGCAGGAATCCCCTTCCGGGGTGGAGGCATTCGAGCCTGATGCTGCAGCCAGAGCTTCTGGGTCTGACCAGCAGGCTCCCTTTGTTCCTGCCTTTTCTTTAGAGGTGGGGTGGGGGGGGAGTTAGAGGTTCCTGGGGCAGGGGAGGAGTTGACTTGGGGGCCTTGGTCCCCTGTTGGACCCCGTCTGAGTTTTTGTACCCTCTGAGTGGGGCTTGGTACTACAAGGAGTGGGGTTCTCTTTCACTCCCTCCTCATACAAATTGGATTTGGCATCTACCCCTTCCAGGGTTCGGTTTCATGACCCCGACGGTTCTTTGGTTCCATTCTTCAGGAGGTTTTCAGCTTCCCGCATCCCGTCCCATGTAGTGCGGGAAGCCACTGTGGCTTACCTCCTTTGTGACCCGGATTATACTTTCGTGATGGATCTGCATTCCTTTGTGTATGGATCTTCGTGTTTTTACTGGGTTCGTTATGAAGTTCCGGAGTCATCCTGGATAACAGACTGCCCTCTCTTCTCTGGAGGCGTGGCATACATTCTGTCAATCCCACACGCTTGAGTGGCGGGAGGTTCAGACGGCATTGCAGGTTTTCCTGGGGAGGGGGCGAATTTGAGCATCTCCGTGCGTGTTTGTCCGCCTTTGCCATTTTGCGGGATGTTGGTATGATGCAGCTTCATGTGCAGGTTCCTTTCCTTTCAGCTGCATTGGTCGCAGAGGACTTGCGTACACGTGTCCTGCTGGTTTTGGCCCTGCGTTTCTTCTCCCTCCTTGAGCTGTCCTCGGACTGGCCTGAGGTGGATGTGGAGGAGCTTGGGGCCGCCTCTGGGTCTGATGCGGTGCCCTTAGCAGTGCATGCATCATCTGCATTGTTGAAGCTGTTCGAACTGCTCCTGCGTAATGCAGTTTCGCCCATTTATTGCTTCACGACTCGCGTGTTGGCAGGCAGTGCTCACGTCTTCCTTGAACAAACGAACCTTGGGCCCTGGTTCTTAGACTGTCTTCACCTTTTTGTCCGTTGCTGTTTGCAGAGTCTGTGGTTGTGCAGTATCTACATGCAGCTTCGGCTAGCTGCTGCCCTATGTCGGATTTATTTGTCTTCCGGGTAGCTCGTGGGGGGGAGGGCCTTCCCGGCGGGGTCAGGCCAGGGCTCGGGGTGCTTCCCTTCGTGGTAGTGTAACACTGTAAGGTGTTTGGTTTAGTTGTATTTAAAATACATAGAGATACATGAGTCACAGACAAGGATTTGACAGGCGCCATTCTGGCGGCCTGAATCTCACACCTCTAAGAGTTAATGACCCCAAGTGACCTGAGGTCAGATCATGCGAATTTCACCTTGCTTCTGCTAATCTTATAATAGGAGCCTGGTAGCCTTCAAACATGCCGACATTTAAGGAGTGGCTTGGTAGAGTGCCTGAGACTATCTACTTGTGGGCGGAGTTAGTTACTAGGTTCCCAATATATACTCGGAGAGCTATCGATTCGAGAGCATTAACAAGACAGAGAGAATAGCAGACGAGCCAGCAGAGAGCAGAGAAGACGGCCTAGCCATAGAGGCTGTCAGCCAGCAGGGCGGGACAGTCTCTGTCAACTACAGACCCCCCCCCCTCTATCCAGCTATAGGCAGACACTTGGTGAGTTGAGCATTAAGGTGACTTGGTCGAGTTTACATATGTTGTGTGATGATCAGGGGCAGTCAAGTTGTAGGGTTCTCAAATTCTTGGATGATGACTCACTTTGCATATTAACACTTTCGCGCTATCTGGACGCGCCGGCGCGTTCGGTTTCGTCTAACGTAAACGCATAGTGGACATAAAGTTATGTCAACTTTTAAAATATTTGTATAAAATTCAATTTTTATCCGATTTACTTTGGG